CACAGATGAGAAAACTGCAGACAGAGAGGTTAAGTAACTGTTCAAGTTCACACAGCCAGAAGATGGGGGACCTAGATTAACTCTGACTTCACTGAGGTGAAGTCCAACCTTGTAACCACTCTTTATACCATCCAGCCGTGGGACCTAGCTGAAACCAACTTAATTTTGGTTGATTGAAACCTAACCATAAATGTTGACACCACAAAAAGAACTTGGAGAAAACTAGTAAAAATGAGAAACATACTTTTGAAGGGAGGTCTATCCTTTTAAGCAAGATATGAAACTAATAAATACTAAAAAAATATTTTGATACCTTTCACTTCATGAAATAACATTTTGGCCCCTGGGTAAAATTAAACTGTAATAGATTTAATGGAATTCTTACAAAATTCCAGTGAGATTTTTCACAGAAAAAAAAAATTCTCCAAAAAATTTGTATGGAATCAGAAAAGACCCCAAATACCAAAAGCAAAAAGAATAAAACTGAATCTCATTCCCTGATTTGAAAATACAATATTACTATAATCGAAACAGCAGGGTTCTGGCACACAAAAAGACCCATTAACCAATGGAAAAAGAAGAAATTCCATAAATAAACCCAGTGTTTACAGTCAGTTGATGTGATGTTTGACAAATGTGCTAAGAATATACAATGGGGAAAGGACAGTGTCTTCAGTAAATGCATATGGGAAGATGGGAGGAATAGAGGAACTTTAGACAGGACAAAGGGGAGGGAGGGGAAGGGAGGGGACTTGGGGGTAGGAAAGATGGTGGAATGAGATGGACATCATTACCCTAAGAACATGGATGAAGATGCGAATGGTGTGACTCTACTTTGTGTACAACCAGAGACATGAAAAATTGTGCTCTATATGTGTAATATAAATTGAATTGCATTCTGCTGTCATATACATAACATATTAGAATAAAAATTTTAAAAAGAGAAAAAACAACTCAAAATGGATAAAAGACTTAATCATAAGGTTTTCAACTCTAACACCTCTAGAAGAAAGCATAAAGGAAAACTTCCATGAGCTTGGGTGGTAATGTCTTGAATAGAATTCCCAAAGCACAGACACCAAAAGCAAAAATTGACCGAATTGCATCAAATTAAAAACTTTCTGCACAGCAAGGGAAACCACAGAGTGAAGAGACAGCCCATGTCTTGGGAGAGAATATTTGCAAAGCACACATCTGATATGGGGCCAATGGCCCTAATGTATAAAGAACTAAGTAACTCGATAGAAGGAAACAGGTAACTTGATTTAAAGTTTTGAACAGATACTTCTCAAAGAAGAGAAATGAATAGCCAATGGATCTATAAAAACGAATAGCCAACATTTTTGATCATCAGGGAAATGAGAATTTTAAACAGGGAGATATCAGTCACATCTTTAGCTTGGCTGTTATTACAATGATGGATGTTAATAAGCACTGGCAAAGATAGGCAGAAAATGAACCCTCAGACTCTGTTGGTGGGAATGTAAATTAGTGTCGCTATTTTGAAGAAATGGAAGGTCCTCCAAAACTAAAACCAAAACTCTTATATTATCCAGCTCCCCACTTCTGGGCCAAACATTGAAGCTGGCGTGTTCACTGAGACGCTGTTCCCAACAGCTAAGATGTAGAAGCAGCCCAAGTGCCCGTGAATGGATGTTTCCTTGGAAAAAGGAAATGTGGCGTTTGTACACTGGGGCATGTTATAGATACTCACAAGTGAGAGACGTGACACAAGGAGAAATCTGCAAATTTGGGTTGTGTACTGGGTGTGGCATACCCCAGTGGAGCCTGGGCTTCTGAAAGGAGGAATTGTCCATCCTCAAGGACAAGATGGTTGGGTTGCGATTTCCCCTGGTGGTTAAATCCTACCTGGTCTCCAGGAAGAAGAGAGGGTCCCCAGGTTCCCTGGGGCTATGCCTGATGGGAGAGAAAGGGCTCAAGGAGGCCTACTGTCCAGGGCTGTGCAGGGGGACAGCCACTAAGGAATACTGATGGGGACTCCAGGGGCAGTTCAAGAAAGTTCTTTCTTGGTGACTCGAACGTGTATTCACCAACTGTTCCACTTGCTCCTCCACATTTTCAGTCTATCATCACCTGGTCTCAAAACATGAAATACATTGGTCACCCTTGAACTTCTGCAGGGAAAAAACAGGTGTGACTCTCTGACCCCCTTCCCTGTGTGGGACCTTAGGAGGCTGAGAGGATGCGGTGGACTCCTCAGGCTCAGCTTTAAGGTGGTGGACCCACACTCATGCGTAACCCCGCCCTCATTGTCTCTTAATGTCCTACGAATGAGACGAATGAGACGTGAATTTCCCTGTCCTAAGTCCCAGAGATTTATAACTGATTCCACAGCATGACCAATACTATCTTGAGTAACTCACTTTCTAGAAGAAGGGGAAGGGGAAGCACCTTCAGGAATGTTTTAATCTGTTGAGCAACCTGCTGCCCCATGACTGGTTGCCCAAAAGCAACAACATGAGTTCTCCCTCATGGGGTCTGGGGTCAGCACTGCTCTACAGCGGGGTCTTCTGGCCCAGGGTCTTGCAGAAACAGATCAAGGTGTTTTCTGGGGTGCCATCATCTCGAGGTTCCACTGGGAAGCTTCTGCTTGGAGTTCATCACAGTGGGACTGTGGACAGGATGCAGTTCCCTGTGGCGGCTGCCTGGAAGCTCAGTTCCTCAATAGCTATTGGCCAGGGGCTGCCCTCAGGACCTTGCCACGTGGGCGTCTCCACGGGGCCGCTGTCAGTATGGCAGCTGGCCTCATCAGAGTGAGCAGGAGAGAGGCCGAGGACAGGGAGCAGGAGTGAGCCAGGAGGAACCCGTGCTCTGGTGGAAAATGGTTGTATTAAGTGACAGCCCATCATTTTTGCGAGGTGCACACTCTTTGCGGGAGAGGATGATACATAGGTGTGAACACCAGAGAGGGATCCTTGGGTGACATTTTAGGAGCTGCCTCCTACACTTATACATTCAGCATGTGCCCTACAGTGAGCTAGGCGCTTTCTTTTTTTTTTTTTTTAACATCAGAAATGTATTAGTTGCTCAAAACATTACATTGATTTTGACATATAATATTTCATACATGTGTTTCAAATGGGTTATGAATTCTTATTATTCCCACGTGTACAGATTGCAGGATCACATTGGTTATACCGCCACGTTTATAATACTGCCATACCAGTGTCTGTTGTATTCTGCTGTCTTTCCTATCCCCCTCCCCTCCCCTCCCTTCCCTCTACCCCATACCATAACTCATTTCTCTTTCTCTCTCTCTCTTTTTTTTCTCCACTTCACTTCACATCCTCTTATATGAATTTTTGTATAACAATGCGGGTCTCCTTCCATCTTCTGTGCAATTCCCCTTCTCTCTTCCATTCCCTCCCACCTCTCATCCCAGTTTGATGGTAATCTTCTTCTCATGCTCTTCCTCCCTGCTCTGTTTTGAGTTGCCCCCCTTATATCAAAGAAGACATTCGGCATTTTTTTTTTCGGGATTGGCTGACTTCACTTAGCATAATCTGCTCTAATGCCATCCATTTCCCTGCAAATGCCATGATTTTGTTATTTTTTTAGTGCTGAGTAATATTCCATTGTGTATATATGCTACATTTTTTTATCCATTCATCTATTGAAGGGCATCTAGTTTTGTTCCACAGTCTAGCTATTGTGAATTGTGCTGCTATGAACATTGATGAAGCTGTATCCTTGTAGTATGCTCTTTTTAGGTCTTTTGGGAATAGTCCTAGAAGGGGAATAGCTGGGTTGAATGGTGGTTCCATTCCCAGCTTTCTGAGGAATCTCCACACTGATTTCCAAATTGGTTGCACCAATTTGCAGTCCCACCAGCAATGTGCAAGTGTACTCTTGATTTTAACTCTTGTGCTATAGGTGTCCTAATAAGGAATTTGGAGCCCGACCCCACGAGATGGAGATTAGGGCCAACTTTTTCTTTTATTAGATGCAAAGTTTCTGGTTTGATTCCTAGCTCCTTGATCCATTTTGAGTTAAGTTTTGTGCATGGTGAGAGACAGGGATTCAATTTCATTTTGTTGCATATGGCTTTCCAGTTTTCCCAGCACCATTTGTTGAAGATGCTATCCTTTCTCCATTGCATGTTTTTAATCACCTTTGTCTAATATGAGGTAGTTGTAATTTTGTGGATTGGTCTCTGTGTCCTCTATTCTGTACCATTGGTCTACCCACCTGTTTTGGTACCAGTACCGTGCTGTTTTTGTTACTATTGCTCTGTAGTATAGTTTGAAGTCTGGTATCGCTATACTGCCTGTTTCACTCTTCCTGCTTAGAATGACTTTTGCTATTCTGGGTCTTTTATTTTTCCAGATGAATTTCATGATTGCTTTTTATATTTCTGTGAGAAATAGCATTGGGATTTTGATTGGCATTGCATGAAACCTACAGAGTACTTTTGGTAATATGGCCATTTTAATGATGTTAGTTCTGCCTATCCATGAACAAGGTATATCTTTCCATCTTCTAAGGTCTTCTTCTATTTCTCTCTTTAGGGTTCTGTAGTTTTCATTGTATAGGTCCTTCACCTCTTTTGTTAGGTTGATTCCCAAGTATTTTATTTATTTATTTTTTTGAGGATACTGTGAATGGAATGGTCGTCCTCATTTCAATTTCAGTGGATTTGTCACTGATACAGGAATGCCTTTGATTTATGCATGTTGATTTTATATCCTGCCACTTTGCTGAATTCATTTACTGAGCTAGATGCTTTCAATTCACAGTCTCATTTAGTTCATGTCACCATGTCAAGACGGATAAGGAAATGAAGGTTAGTCCAGTGAAGTAACCCACCCAGAAATAACTTCAGCAGAACCAGGACTTGATCCCAGAATTAGTTCCAATTCACTGGACAAGGCTGCCTCCCTGGGTCAAGGAAGGTGCTGGGTGAACTGGTTAAGGAGCAAATGTCTGTTTCACTTGTTCTCCTTGAGGAAATATCCATGTTCTCTTTCCCAATGCCCTAGGTGTCTGCAGCACTTTAGCCAAGAGTTCTGGAGCTCATGGTTCTGGGATTAAAGGTTTTAGAACCCACACTAATCTGACAGCAATCCAGGGAGGTTCGGTCTTGTTCCAAGTGATCCAGGAGCCAGAAGATCCCAAGATAGAGGAGATCTCCTGGGGTGTCACCTCTGATTCAAATGCCATTTACATGCTGAGACTCCAGAATGGGACGGAAGATCCAAAGTGGTTTGGTCTTCAGGACAAGTACAAGCAGAGGGTCCAGGTGCCCAGTATGTCATCCCTGAGGATTAACAATTTGATATCACAGGACAGTGGGCAGTACTGGGCCCAGATCATACTTCAGACGGGAAGAGAAATTAAACGAGTTTTCCACCTCACTGTTTATGGTAAGTGACAGCCTCACCTAGTCCCAGGGCCAGCCTCCTTCTTTGAGTCTAGGAATCTCTGAGACCACATGCTTCAGGATTCTCCTCAGGCACCAACATGTCAGATATTCATCACAAACAGTAGAGCTGAGGATTTATACCAGGGAGAAAGATCACATCGTGTTTTGGGAGAAAAAAACGGAAATTTGGCCATTTTTGCAATAACATTTCCTCCTCTTTGTAAGACTAAACTATATTTTTGAGATAGGGTCCTGCAAAGTTGCTTAGGACCATGCCAGGTTGCTGAGGCTGGCTTTGATCTTCGTATCTTCCTGTCTCAGCCTCCTGAGCTGCTGGGATTGCGGGTGTGCACCACCATGCCCGACAATTTCTTCCACTTTAAAGGGTCCCTGTGATGACTCTGGGACTATCCAGATAATCCTATTTAAAGGTCAGCTCTTTTTTTCATAACTTAGCATATTCACAGATTCAGAAGATAAAGATGTGGACATGAGTGGGGACACAATTGTTCTACCATGTTTGGAATCCACATGTATCTAGTTCACTGTCCCCAGTGCTTGAAGAGAGTGGCCAGTGAGAGGCCAGCTTCACTTCCACAGACCCCACAAATCCTGCTCTGCAAGCCTTGATAGGGTAGGAGAAGTGATGCTGCTGCATGTCCCAGGAGATCTATTTTGCGAACTCTAGGGTCCCCATAGTACATCTCTGCCTAGGGCAGTCCCTCTGCAGAGAGTGGACTGCAGGTGCAGGTCCTGTGTGATTTCCAGACTGGCCTGTAGATCAGACCCTTCTCCCCCAGTCAGGGGGACATTCTAATTGCCTGCAGAGCTGTGCTCTCTGTTGCAGCCATGGTATCTCCCTCAATGTCTCCTGTTTTGACATTGAGCTTTCTGGGTCCTCCCAGAGCTGGCCTGGTGTCCTGCCCCAGTCAGGCTGTGCAGTCCCAGGCACTGTCTCAGCTGAAGACCCAGGACACAGGACCCTGGCCCCAGACAAGCTCTTCTGTCCCACTCTTCCTTCCCTTCCAGAAGACCCCTATCTTCTAGAAATAATTGGCCCTAAAAACTGGGATTCAGCATCATTTTCTCATGGGAAAAAAAGTTTAGACTTGCTTCATCTAGTGAGATCACATGAGCTTAATAAAGTGGCTGCTGTCACTTGTCAACATGTAGCTCTGGGGAAATTGTGCTTTATTTGTAACGTGCTCCCAGCTTCCTCCTAGGGCTGCTGCCTCTGGTCAGTGAGACACTGGAGGACAATGTGTGGCATGTGTGAGGCTCTCTCCTTTGTCCCCTCCCTCCTCAGATCCTGTGCCCCTTGCCCAGATCCAGATCACATCAGCATCCATCACACCCAGCTGGTGCAATGTCACTCTGGAGTGTGGGGTCCGAGAGGCTGTAGACGTCCTCAATGTAACCTGGGTGGTACAGGGTCCCCCCAGTGAGCTGGAGCAGAGAGGGGCAACAGGACCCCCCAACCCCTGGACACTGGCCCTGAGCCTGCCACTGAGGCAGCCCAATGTCAGCTTCACCTGTGTCCTCAGCAACCCAGTGGACCAGAAAAATGCCACCTTACAGCTCCTTGACCTCTGTAGCCCAGGTGAGTGCACCTGCAGGAGGGAGGGGTACAGGAAGGGCTCAGGTGGCTCTGGAGCCTGAAGGTCCCTGGCTTTTTTGCTGCTGTGTTTATGAACAGCACTGCCTTCCCTTGGTCACTCCAATCCAGAAGTGTGGGGTCGCATCCAGCTCACGACTGTCTTTAAATATCCCTCAACTCCATGCCCTTCCCCCTGGGCCAGGGGCCACCTTCCAGGACCTGTCCCACCCCGTCCCCTTGCCCTGTGTCCAGAATCATCTTTGGAAAAACAGATCGGATTGTGGCCTTTGTCTGTGTCATCTCTGGGGTCGACCTCCACCTAGTTCCCATAGGATGTAGGGCTTAGAAGGTCCTGTGCCCCCGATGGTGGCCTCATCCACACAGGGACACAGCTGCTTGCTGACTTCCCTAATGTGTGAAGCCACTGCCAGCTCTGAAGGCGCAGTCTCTTTAAGGAGCTGGCCACGGCCATCCCCCCTGAGTGGAAAGATTCCTTTCTGTGTCTGAGTCCACCCTGAGTGGGACACTATGAGGGCAGGGGACACATCCTTCTCTCCTCTTAGCCCAGGTGTCCAGCTCAGTTCTGGGCAGTTTGCGCCCAGTAGGTGTCTCACTGAACCGGAATGCCTGGGACCCGTGTGCACCCATCCTCTCTCAGTCTTCCTCCAGGGGCTGCTGGAGGAGCCTGACTGGTCAGTGCCAGTCACCACCCCTGGTCCTGTGCCCCCCCCATCTCCACACTGGAGTCTCAGAGGAAGTTTAACATGGCCCACCAAACCTCCTGGCCTCACAGCTGCCTCCTGGGCTTCCCCACCTAGCCCTGCCTCCTGTGCTGTCCCTCCCCTGTGGGACGCCCCCGCCACACTGAGTATCTGTGAAACTCCTGCCACTCCCCACACACAGGTGACTGCGCATGTCCTTGGGGATCTCACTGGAGACCTTGGACATGGGTCAACCTCTATGGCAGTGAGATCCTTCACCTGGTGATTGAGAGCTTCTGTCTCTTCCTAGTGATGACTTGTTCACAGACCCCACCTTGCTCATCCCCGTCTCCCCTGCTCCACAAAGGACCTGGGCCACTGCTTGAATGAGTGGACCTGCCACGCCCTCCCTCTGCGGCTTCTGAACCAGGAGCCCTGACACCTGCGCCTTCTCCACCTCCCCTGGCAATGGATGTGTCAGCTCCTCTTATTACCATATCCTGTCTTAACTCTCTTGTTTTCTTAACTCTGTAAATGAGCACCCACAGCTGGCCACTGGAGAGGTGTCATAGGGGCCTTCCTGGCTGGATTTTTCATCCTGGGAGTTGGAGGTTTCCTGTTCCTTTGGCACTTACGAGAGAAGAAGAAGAAGAAGAAGAAGATGGAGATGGAGATGGAGAGAGGCAGGTTGCACTTACCTTTCTGGTCCAGATGTCTCCCCCTCTCCCCTTGGATCCTGGACTTCCTTCCTCCTGCATTTTAATGGCAGGAAGTGGCCTTGTAGAGGGGATGAGGGGTGTAGCCTCGATGGCCTTGGGTTTCTGGCTCTGTGAGTGTGTGTGTGTGTATGTGTTAGTGTGTGTGTGAGTGTGTGAGTGTGTATGAGTGTAAGTGCACGTGTGTGTGAGTGTAAGTGCGTTTGATTGCATGTCTGTTGAGTGTAAGTGTGTGAGAGTGAGTGTGTGTGAGAGTGTAACTCTGAGTGTGTGTGAGTGTGTTAGAGTGTGTGAGAAAGTGACTGTGTTTGTAAGGGTGTGTGTGAGTTTAAGTGCATGTGTGAGTTTAAGTGCATGTGTGTGACTGTGAGTGCATGTGTGTTAAAGTATGAGTGTGTGTGAGAGTGTGTGATTGAGTGTGTGTGAGAGTGAGTGTGTGAGTGTGAGAGTGTAAGTATCAGTGTGTGTTAGTGTGTGAGTGTGTGTTAGTGTGTGTGTTTGTGAGTGTGTGATAATGTGTGTGTGACAATGTGTGTTGTTAGTGTGTGTGTGAAAGTGTGTGAGTGTAAGTGCATGTGAGAGTGTGTGTCTGAGTATAAGTACATGTATGAGTGTGACTGTGTGAGTGCGTGTGTGTGTTAGATTGTGGATGCATGTTAGAATGAGTGTGTGTAAGTGTTTCTGTATTACAGTGTTGTGAGTGTGTGAGTGTGAGAGTGAATGTGTGATTGTGAGTGTGTGTGAGTGTGAGAGTGCAAGTATGAGTGTGTGTGAGTGTGTTTTAGTGTGTTAGTGGGAATGTAAGAGTGTGTGACTGTAAGTGCATGTGTGAGAGTGTGTGTTTATGAGTGTAAGTGCATGTTTGAGTGTGAGTGTGTATGTAAGTGCGTGTGTGAGTGTAAGTGAGAGTTTGTGTGAGAGTGTGAGAGTTTTGTTTGATTGTAGTGTGAGAGTATGTGTGAGTGTGTGAGTGTGTGTGAGTGTGTGAGTGTAAGTATGATTGTGAGTGTGAGTGTAAGTGTCTGAGTGTGAGTGTGAGAATGTGAGTATGTGACAGTGTGTGTGTAACAGTTGTGTGAGTGCAAGTGCATGTGTGAGAGTGTGTGTGTTTATGAGTGTAAGTGCGTATTTGAGTGTGAGTGTGTATGTAAGTGCGTGTGTGAGTGTAAGTGTGAGAGTGTGAGAGTTTATGTGTGATTGTAGTCTGTGTGAGAGTACGTGTGAGTGTGTGACAGTGTGTGTGAGTGTGAGAGTGTAAGTATGATTGTGTGTGAGTGTTAGTGTGTGAGTGTGAGTGTAAGTGTCTGAGTGTGAGTGTGAGAATGTGAGTGTGTGACAGTGTGTTTGTAAAAGTTGTGTGAGTGTAAGTGCATGTGTGAGACTGTGAGACTGTGTATGAGTGTAAGTGCGTGTGTGGACGTGAGTGTGTGAGTGTAAGAGTGTGTGTGAGTGTGAATGCATGTATGTGTTAGAGTGTGAGTGTGTGAGAGTGTGTGAGTGTTAGAGTGTATTGGAGTGTGTGAGTGTGAGTGGAAGTGTGTGTGTGTGTGTGTGTGTGTGTGTGTGTGTGTAGGGTTGGAGGTTTCCCTGGCACAGAATCAACCTCCAGTCTGTTATGACTCAGGTGCGGGATTGCCAGAGGACCCCAGGGCCAAGGATGATGCAGTCTATGCACAGCTGACAAAACAGGATTCTAGGAAGGACAAGCGGAAGGAGAGAGCTGTGAGTGGTGACCAGCCAGGTCTCATGGCACCCAGCCCTGGGCTGCCTGCACAAAGCCAGGTATCTGCTGTGCTATCTCCACTGTATTTTTTCCTTTCCTTTTTACCTCTTTTTGTGTTGAGAGTATTAAGAAAATTTATGGGTTGGTGTCATGGTTAATTTGAATTGTTGACTTGATTGGATTAAGAGATGACAAGGAAGGGCTGGGGTTGTGGCTCAGCGGTAGGGCACTCACTTAGCAAGTGCAAGGCACTGAGTTCCATCCTCAGCACCACATAAAATAAATAAAGGTATTGTGTCCAACTACAACTAAAAGATAAATATTTAGGAAAAAAAGAGAGATGCGAA